TTCACTTTATGCCCCGAATCTTAATTTCAAGATATATTGGGAGTGATGTGTCCAATACAATAATTTCAGCACACCCATCTGTGGTATTTTAATCCAGGCATCTGATTATAATTTTGCTTCTGGGTTTGGTGTTGAATCTTTGGCAGCTGATGTACTGCTGATCCATGTTATGCAATCTCAATTCTAGTGTTTAAAAACTTGATTGAAAGGTGGCATTTAAAAGGAGTTGAGAAATTTGGCTTTGTGCAGAGGAAATTGTGTCTCATAAACTTCGTTGACCAAGAAGATAGTGGAGGGCAGAGTGGTAGATGTTGTCTACATGGTCTTTAGTAAGGTTTTCGACAAGGTTCTGCATGGTAGACAAATTAGTAAAGTTAGATCACATGAGATCCAGGGAGAGATAGCCAATCATTTACAAAATTGACTTGATGGTAGGAGACAGGGGATGGTGATAGAGGATTGTTTTTCAGACTGGAGGCCTGTGGCCAACGACGTTCTGCAGGGATTGGTGCTGGGTCCACTGCTGTTTGTCATTTATATAAACGATTTGGGTTAGAGGAGAAGATGGTTACTAAGTTTGCGGATGACACCGAAATTGGTCGTATATTGGACAGTGCAGAAGGTAGAATAAGATCTTGATCCGCTGGGCCACAAGGAGTGGCAGATGGAGTTTAATTAAGATAAATGTGAGGTGTTACATTTTGATAAGGCAAACCAGGGCAGGACTTAGGCCGTCAATAGTAGGGTCCTAGGGAGTGTTGTCGAACAGAGAGACCAAGGGGTTCAGGTATGTAAGTTCCTTGAAAGTAATGTCACAGGTAGACAGAGTGATAAAGAAGATGTTTAGATTTAGATTTAGATTTATTTATTTGTCACATGTACTAAGTATAGGAATACATAGGTACAGTGAAAAGTGCACAAAGTCGCCATTCACTGGTGCCCACTTGATTACAAAAACCAGAATTAAAACATTTAACAGAGCCAAAAGGTAAGCAAGAAAAAGAAGCCCAGATCTTGGAGTCCCAAGTCCCATCTCCAACTACACAATGGAGCAGGTGCTGCTCCAGATGCTATGGCGCTGTCGCTGCCATCACTGCCTCACTGGCTCCGCTCTCACCATCACTGCCTCACTGGCCCCACTCTCACCGTCACTGCCTCACCAGCCCTGCTCTGACCGTCACTGCCTCACCGACCCCGCTCTCACTGTCGTCACTGCCTCACGGGCCCCGCTGTCACCGTCACTGCATCACCGGCCCCGCTGTCACCATCACTGCCTCACCAGCTCTGCTCTCACCGTCGTCACTGCCTCACCAGCCCCACTCTCACCGCCGTCACTGTGTCACCGGCCCCACTCTCACTGTCACCGCCTCACCGGCCCCGCTCTCACCGTCACCGCCTCACCGGCCCCGCTGTCACCGTCACCGCCTCACCGGCCCCGCTGTCACCATCACCGCCTCACCGGCCCCGCTGTCACCGTCCCCGGCTCACCGGCCCCGCTCTCACCGTCACTGCCTCACCGGCCCCGCTCTCACCGCCGTCACTGCATCACCGGCCCTGCTCTCACTGTCACTGCCTTACCAGCCCCGCTCTCACCGCCGTCACTGTGTCACCGGCCCCGCTCTCACCGTCACCGGCTCGCCGGCCCCGCTCTCACCGTCACCAGCTCGCCAGTCCCGTTCTCACCGTCACCGGCTCGCCAGTCCCGCTCTCTCCGTCACCGCCTCGCCAGACCCACTCTCACCGTCACCGGCTCACCGGCCCCGCTCTCACCGTCACCGGCTCACCAGCCCCGCTCTCACCGTCACCGCCTCACCAGCCAGCCAACTTGCCTTTATTGGTCAGAATATTGAGTAAACGAGTTGGGATGTCGTGTTGCAGCTGTACAGAACATTGAGGCCACTTTTGGAATACTCCATTCAGTTCTGATCGCCCCTTCTTAAGGAAGGATATTATTACATGGGAAAGGGTGCAGAAAAGATTTACAAGAATGTTACCGGGACTGGAGGGTTTGAGTTATAAGGAGAGGCTGGATAGGCTGGGACTTTTTTCCCAGGAGCATAGAAGGCTGAGGGGGTGAATGTATAGAGGTTTATAGAAGGGCATAGTTAAGGTGAATTGTAATGGTCTTTTCCTTATAGTAAGGGCATTCAAATCTAGAGGGCATAGGTTTAAGGTGAGAGGGGAAAGATTAAAAAGGGACTAGAAGGGCAACTTTTTCTTATAGAGGGTGATGCATATATGGAACGAAGTGTCAGAGGAAGTGGTAGAGGCAGGTACAGTTACAACATTTAAAAGATGTTTGGGCAGGTATACGAATAGGAAAGGTTTAGAGGTATATAGGCTAAATGCAGGCAAATGGAACTAGTTTAGTTTAGGAAACCTTGTCAGCATGGATGAGTTAGACCGAAGGGTCTGTTTCTGTGCTGTATATCTCTATGAGCGAGCAATTATAAACTACTTTCTTTGGGCATTCAAAAGCAATACCCTGCTTTCATGGTCTGCATAAAACAGCTCTCCAACTGAGGAGGATGAGCGTGCCCAGGAATTCCAAGATGATAGTGGATGTAAAATTTGGGACTCCAATCTGTAGTCCTATTGCTATCCCTAAAGTTGGCCTTCAGGTCCCTTTTAAACCTTACCCCTCTCACCTTAAACATATGCCCTGTTACCATCATTTATTGCATATCCCACCTATCTTAATGGCGGCATCTTATTCTGTATTGGTGCAAGTGGAGCTGTCTTTGGCAAGGTCAGCACAAACTCCAAAACTCAGTGATTGTCAAACTAAAGCATCTCAATGGCCTGCACAGAGATCTGGGCAGCCTGACACTACCACTGCTGAAGCACCATGTAGGAGAGGTAGGAAAATGAGCTGTAAATCTTTGCAATTGCTCAACAGTATAGGTGTTAGGGAAAATGCAATTTGTTGTTTCCATTCTTTAGTAGAACTTTATTCAGTAGAATGGTGTAGAGATGGAGTGTGCAGTGGATGTGGTTTATACACCGGTTGAATACTGTAGCTAAGTGAATAATACAGAATAAGGGCATATTTGGCAATCCAAACTGTAATGAGAGCAACCAGTGCTGCAATGGAGTTGCTATCCTACTCCTCCTCTTCCTCTATCACCTCTCCCTGGGATTCATTCATAGATGATGTGTGCTCTGTGCCGTGTTCTTCCTTCTGCTTCAGTCTCCACGAATGCAGTGTTGAGCAGAGTGCAGCATGCCACAGTCAGTTTAGGGATCACTAATAGTGAGTTTGAAGGCCATCTTCAGATCTGTCCAAGCATGTGATGATGTGAACCCATCACCTGATCAATGGCATATTTGGTTGTCAAATGACAATTGCTGTACAGAGTGGGGACTGCATTAGTTCTCGTGGGTGTGATTAGGGGAGCGGTGGTGTTGTGGTAATATCACTGGACTAGTAATCCAGAGACCCAGACAAAAGCTCTGTGATCCCTAGGTACAAATCCCATCATGGTACTTGGTGGAATTTGAAATCAGTTGATCAAATCTGGGAATTTTGAAAGCAAGTCTCAGTAATGTTGACAATGAAACCATTCTAAATTGTCATTAAAAACCCTTTGGTTCTCTAATATTCTTCAGGAAGGAAATCTGCCAACCTCACCCACTCTATATCTGGCTTGGCCTACCTGTGACTTGAGACCCGCAACAATGTGGTTGACTCTTAACTATCCACGGAAATGAACTAGCAAGCCACTGAGTTCAAGGCTAAGTAGAAATAGGTAACAAATGCTGAATTAAAACTTCTGTAGGGGTATCCTTTCAGTCTCAGCAGCTTCCCTTTGAAGCTAATAGCCAGTGTGAAGACGTCAGGAAGCTTGGTTTGCCTCAGGTTGAAATCCCTGGAAATATGCTGTATTTCTGTATTAACCTTTCCTTGTCATTACACACTAGTTGATGATGGTGTGGAAGTTCTTGTATTTGATAAATGCTCCTAATTCATCTGAAGTTGCAATAAATGTCCAATTTGATGATCTGAATGCCTGGGGTGTGTCATCCTGACTGAGTGCCTGTTTGTTCTGACTGGTATCATCACAGATGAAGTTGGCTTAATTGTCAAAGATTTATCAAATCTCACCTGCGTAAAACCAACTGGGAAGTTCTGGATATGTCCCTCGCAGTGCCCCAACTAAACCATAACTAAACCCATACAGCTATAAAGGAATATCTGACATTCCAGTTGGTAATGTGAGCAGCTCAGGGTGTCTTTAATCTAACTCACATTGAGTTCATGAAACTTTGCCAACCAACATTGGTCAGGTGATTCCAGTGGCCATTTTAAGTTAGTATTTTGGTCCCCTTTTAAAGCTCTATCAGGCCATGAAAGTCCTAGATATTAAATCAGATGATAGAATTTAAAGACTGATATTCCCTTATTTTACATCATTCTGACAATGGGAAGTTACAAGAAGCCTAGGTGACCCATAGTAGCACTATTAAGTTTTAACATATGATTTACAGTGAAACGATTAGCATTCTTAAATTGGCATCCCAACTCTGCAAATAGGGTTACACAAAATCTGCCAAATATTCCACAGTTAAAACTGTGTTAACCTCCTCACTCACAATCTAACTCACTTGCTGCCCAATGTTCACATTCCCCATTATAAACAGGTTTGAGGAATAAGTGGATGTGTTTTGGTTAGAACAGAATAAGATGTAGGTTGACCCAATAAAAGTGTAACTGTCTTTTCTGGTATAACTTGGGCATGCACAATTACAGTATGTAAGGAATTCCATATGATTTCTTTACAGACTCACTTTCCTTGGCTTGCTGGATTTCAATATTTTTTGACTGAAAGAGGATTTTTATGAATGTCTGAAAACCAAATCCTATCCACCTCCTTAGCTGCAATGCCTAATAACTGGTTAAAGTGATACTGAATTCTTTACAGTTTGTGTTGACTGTGGTTGTGTTTGTGTTTATCAAGATACCATTTATTAATTTTATTGCTTTTATTTGTATTTCTTAGGACTTATTTGCTGTAAGTATGGTGGTTCCATTATTAAGTCGGCACATCAAACTTCTTGGAGGAAGCTCAACAGTTGCAGGGCTAGTAGGTGGGTATTTTCCATTCAACCCCATCAGGGCATACATATGTAAAGTATTTGATGGATAATTATTAAGTTGAACTGTAGAGGTTAGTTATCTCAATTTGCTGGAGAGCCAATTTGTGATGCAGAGTGAGGTTATTATCAAGGATTCACTCTTACCCTCATCCCTCGCCCAAGGTGCGATGACCCTCAGGTTAAACCATCACCAATCGTCTCTCTTTCTTAGGGGAGAGCAGCCCAATTTTATCTTTTAAACAGAAAAAAGACCCTTCAGCCCATCGAGTCTGTGCCAGGTCATGAAGGAATTGCTAACCTGGACTATCTATTTTGCTGCATTAACTGATTAGCCCTGGATTGATGAAGAGGACACTAATTACCTCAACAGTCCTACTAAAATGGGAGAGGAATTGGCCATGGCTCTTCCTGCTTTTCAATGACTTTGTATTTTTGAGTAGGTTACTTAACAGTTCCGCATTGAGCTTAGTTATGACACCCTTCAAGTTAAAATGAACAGCCAATTCTCACTTTTGAGATTTAACTTGCACTTTGGTGAGGTACTAGGGAGCTAAGATGAACCAAGGAACAATACAGTTCCCACACTCAGAAAAAAAATTAGCAAAGAAAATTTATTGAAAATGCAACTGAACAGATCAACTGGCTTTGAAATCTGTTTTATTCATTGTCACTATTTTGAGTATCATATTTGTATGTTTAGATGTATGGAGAAAAAGTAGATTTCCAGCTAGCAACTTGATTATTGCTGCCTATCCAGATGGTCATAATAGGCTTTAGTTCAGGTAGTATTGTTGTTACTTTGATTTCAGTGTTCTTGCACATTCCTTGGAATCAAGGTTGGTCAGCTGTAATTGAAATCTACTTTTGACTTGGTGGCTTGAAATTCGGTAGCAATGACAACAGCTTTATGTTGGGAATTTTTAATATTTATCTCCTGGGAATTACTCCAATTTCTTGTCCTCAATGAGGTAAGATTCCAATTGTGTGAAATTTCACTTGATTCTTCCTAAGCGTTTGTTAATACTGTGCTGGTGAGACTTTTTTTTCAGTTTTAAATATAAATTTTAGTTAAATTTTTTTCTAAGAGTCATTGGGTCTGATTTTTAATTCTGAATAAACAAATGTGTTTTGAGTAAGTGAAAATTGGGTCAGTGCGACTACATGGAGAATTCTTCCTTTTTTTTTCTTGGCAATTCCTTTTCTGTAGGAATTTGTAACATGCAACCTTTGTACATTTTGTTCAGCCTTTGATCATCATAGAATCCCTACAGAGTGGAAACAGGCCCTTCGGCCCAACAAGTTCACACCGACCCTCAGAGCATCCAACCCAGACTGAGCCCCCTAATCTACACATCCCTGAACACTATGGGCAGTGTAACATGGCCAATCCACCTAGCCTGTACATCTTTTGGACAGTGGGAGGAAACCGGAGCACCTGGAGGAAACCCATGCAGACATGGGGAGAATGTGCAAACTCCACACAGACAGTCACCCGAGGGTGGAATCGAACCCGGCTCTCTGGTGCTGTGAGGCAGCAGTGCTAACCACTGAGCCACCGTGCCACCCCTAAATTAGCACAACAGAACTTGTATGATGGGTGTCCACCTAGAGAACTAGCATGTGCCAGAGAATATTTGGCCCTAATCTCTGCTATACTTGCTAAAGAGCATCTGTCATTTTTCCTAATTTTAGTCCATTTAGTTTGTTTATATATAAGACATAATTATGGTATTGATTGATTTTAAGCTACTGTTAAATGCTGTGATTTTGCTGGGAAGAAAGAGGGATGAATTTTAAACCCCAAGTTGGACACACAGTCAAAAGAATGGATGTTTGCAGCACTTGTTAAGCCATATTTGAATGCTCGCAAGTAACCTAATTGCCAAAAGGGGGACTTAATCAGTGCAAGTAGAAGGATAGTAATTACAGCAATTAATTTCTTTAGAAGATATTTAGGTAGTATTTCATTGAAAGGCTCCCATTGCACACTGGCAGTATCCCTGCCTAGGAGGCCTAGGTTCAGGTCCCATCTGTTCCAAAGTTGTGTAGTACAATATCTGAGCAGGTTGATTTGAAAATATCTTAAATCCCATTGAATGAGTGTCTTGTGGCGTAGTGGTCGTGTTCCTACCTCCAGGCCTGAAGATCCAGCTTCCAGACCCATCTGACCCAGATACATGTGATAACAGATTGATTAAAATAGCTATAATTTCAATGACCTTTTAAACTAAATGATTTTTAACCAGGGTTACCTAGGGCTCAACAGTAGCTTAACGGATACAAGAAAGATTGAATGGCAGGCTGAATGGTTTAATTCTGTTCTGCTCTTATATTAAATGGTCTATGATTATGTTTTGTTTCATTCATTCATGGGATGAGGGCATCCTAATTGCCCAGAGGGCAGTTAAAAGTCATTGCTATGGGTCTGGAGTCAAATATAGACCAGTCTAGGTGAGAATGATAGTTTCTTTCCCTAAAGGCCATGAGTGAATGAGTTGGATTTTTCTGACAATTGACAATGGATTCATGGTCATCATTAGGCTCTTAATTCCAAATTTTTATTGAACTCAAATTCCACCATCTGCCATGGTGGGATTCGAACCGAGGTCCCCAAAATATTACCTGGGTCTCTGGATTAGTAGTCCAGTGATAATCCCATAGGTAAGTGTTTGTAGGTCAAGTGGAGCAAGTGTGTTTCCTCCAGGCCTTGAAGCTACCCTGTTAAATTCCGTGTTCGAAACCACAGTCAACTCTTCCACCAACCCCAATATTCCATGGTCTGACCAATATCTGATCTCTGTGACACCCACCTAATCTTAAATGTTTTAGATTCCATATGCTCCTCATCTACCTGAAATAACTCCACAGAGGCCACTATCCTATCAACAAGTCTGCCTTTATTTACACGTAGAAAGTCCTGACTCTGGTACAGCCTCTTCAGAACCAGCTCTCAGAGTGAACAGAACCGGTGACACTCCGCTCCTGTTTCTTTTTGTCAGCCAGGGCTCCCTGATTGGACCATATTAACAGCCCCAATCAGGGAACTCATTTTCTATGAGGTCCAGCTGGCTGATCTCATTACAATTGCTACATTCCAAACTCTTAAATTGGCCTGGAAACCATTTCAAAAGATTATGTCAAATCCCGCTTCTACCTGCAACAGGGCTTCAACATCCCAGCGGCCTTGCTCCTAATTCCCACTTTCCTACCTCGTAGTTATTAGAGTTTGATAATAGCCATCAACAGCCAAGTAGTAGTATATCACATTAAAACTAAGTGGATGCATTTTTATTACAGGTTCTGTATATGGATTGCTGCAGCTGCTTTCTAGTACTGTAATTGTAAGTATCACATATCAGTTATTTTAATAGGTTTTAAAATAGTGATAACCATTTTAGAGAATTTGAACAATTTTGTCTTCTCAGTCAAACAAAACTTTCCATACAAAATTGATTTTATTATTCATTAAGACAAATGTCTTTTCCTTGCTATATCACTTCTCCCTTCTCCTAAGGTTGCGAATGGTTTTGAAAGCCCTTAATATCTCACCAGATGATAATTACGTATTTATGTGGAAGTATCAGCAGCCTATTAAATGTTCATGTTCAGTTCAATCATGGCCCAACCTACATGTGTAGAGATGACTGGTTAGAGTTAAAAGTAAACCTTGGCTGAATATAAACCTGTTGTTGCAAGTTGAATGCTTTCCTCATTGTTGCCAGATAGCCTGGCATAGTCCACAGAGTGACCTTGGCATAGTACTGCTCAGTGTTGCACTGTACCATGCCGCAGTCTCAGTACATGAGTGTGCTTTGAGGAACTCTGTGTAGAATTATAAAGTGGTATTCTATTCACTAATCTCTTTTTGATTTTGAACATTTTTGTTCACAAGTAACAAAACATTGCTCAAAACACCAATGAATCAACCCATTAATATAAGCTTTATATGAGATCCACAAGATACCATAGGACTGCATTGAAGCCTGTGCTGTAATTGTGACTTTTCGCAATATTTGAAAATGATATTACTGATCATAATATTATGTTATTTGTTTCAAGCAAATGAGAATAAAATCATAGTGTGGACTGTTGATGTCCAGGAACATCAATTGGTACACCAATTATTCACATGTTAGTGTTAGAATGTCAGAATTTGTTTTGGTTATATTTCAGACATATTTCATTTAGTATGTTTTCACCCAATACTTCATGCAGTTAGATTATTCATTGAGTTTCTCGTAGCTGCAACTGTGTTTACCAGAGCAAAACTGCAGCCTTTGAATTCCTTCAGGAAGAAATGCATGTCATGAACATATTAATTCATCAGGAATCTATAACACCACATGTTCTGTCTCTTCATGGTGTGTCAGCGAGCAGCTGTTTGAAGCAATGTTTGAAATTTGTCCCGCTGAAATAAATCATTTGATTCAGTGTGGCACGTATCTTTAAATAGAATAGAATTGATTTCCAATTGGGAATGAGAATAAAACTGCTGCTATGCTTACAGCTAAAGTAACTGTAAATTTGGTAAAGAATTACTTTCAAAATGTCAGGCACTTATCGGAATTAATGTTGCACTGTTCTATAAAAGGAACATAGGAGCAGGAATAGGCCATTCAGCCTGTTGAGCCACCCCACCATTCAATGTGATCATAGCTAAACATCCACTTCAATTCCTTTTCCTCTCACTATTGTTATTCGCCTTTGCCATCAGTGTTTAGAGCTGTCAATCTGTAAACATACTGAATGACTGATCTTCCACAGCCATCTATGGTAGAGAATTCTAAAGATTCACAACTGAGTACAAAGAAATTTCTCCTCATCTTGGTCATAAGTGGTTTTCCGCTTATTTTAAATTATCCTAGACCCTCCAAACCAGGGGAAACATATTATGCTGTATTTTGTAGATTTCAATGAGATCGCCTGTCATTTTTCAAAATTCTACAGAATGCAAACCCACTTTCCCTAATACCTCTAAATAAGTTTGTCCAACCATCCCAGGAATAATTCTGGTGAACGTCGATTATACTTGGCAATAATATTTTTTCGGACGTAAGGAAACCAGAACTACATACTATACTGTAGTCTAACCAAGTTCTTATACAATTGGAGTAAGAGTTCGCTACTTCTGTTCTCAAATCCTCTAATGATGAAGCCAACCTTCCATTGCCTGCTGCACCTGCATGTTAACCTTAAGTGATTTATTAATGGGAAGATGCCCAGCTCACTTCATGCATCTACATTTTTTTAATCCCTTAGCATTTAACAAATATCCTGCACATCTGTTCTTCCTTTCAAAGTGGAAAACTTCACTTTTTCCACATTATATTCCATCAGCCATGTTCTTTCCCACACACTCAATGTCTGTCCAATCCTCTTCAAGCAGCTCTGCATCTTCTTTGCACCAGATATTTCCATCTAGTTTTGTGCCATCGAAAAACTTGAAAATTTGCTTGCAAATCATTGATATAAGTTATGAACAACTGCAGCCAAAATATTGACCCTTTCAATACACCACTAGACGCAACCTGCCTGTAACAATGACTTGTTTATTCCTACTCTTGTTTTCTCTCTGTTAGGTCAATCGTTAATCCACACCAGTACATTACCTCCTATTCCATTTAATTTTGTTAAGCAACCTCATGTAGGGGTCCTTATCAAAAGCATTCTAAAAATTTTAGTCTCCTCCGGTGGTCCCCAGATGCCAGTATCCAGCAATTCAGTTTGCTGCATGTGATATTAAGAAAAGTCTGAAAATAATGAATGCTACAAGGGCTATGAGTCCTGACAATATTCCAACAAAGATATTGAGCACTACTAGCCAAGCTGTTCCATTACCCAACAATGTGGAAAACTGCCAAGATATGTCCTATTCACAATAAAGCAAGACAATTCTAACCTTGTCAGCTACCGCCTCACCAGTCTACTCTTGATCATCAGTAAAATGATGGAAAGTGTCATCAACAGTGCTATCAAGCAGCACATGCTCAGCAGTAACCGGCTCAGTGATGCCCAGAGGGCCACTCAGCTCTTGATTTAATTACAGCCTCATTTCAAACATGGACAAAAATGCTGAACATGTCTCCACCCTCAAAACATGAAATGCCATTTTAAAACAAATGTATTTAAGACAAGGTTAGTAACATTTAAATGACAAACAAAATGCAGAACTCCCAGCTATTCCTTCTTGCTCCCACCAGATTATTAATCACTATTGAACTTTCCTGGTCACATTCTTAAATTTACAACAATTTACATTTGGGATAATGCATCAACAACTCCATTTTCTTTACCAGAAATATATACAATTTTATGTTAAACTGCTGCAGATTTAAACTCCCTCTGAGCTATCATGGAGTCTTACTTCATTCCACAAATCTCAGGGGATCATGGTCCATAAAAACAAACTGCTGCCTGTATGCTTCTCGTATCAACTCATATGCACTTAGAATCGCCCTCCTCACCTCATCATAATCCCTAGAATATTCCTTTGATGGGGATGCATCAATCTCTTGTGCTTTATCAATTAATTTGCATGGGCAAGTTCCGATCTGCTTTAGGCCACCTCATTTGTGTTGCTATCTTCTCAAATGGCATGGAAAATGCTTCCACATCCTTCCCTTCAAATTTTGGCAAATCCTGTGCAACCCTAAACATTTCCTGTCTGAACCGTGGATTATGACTGGAACCGTTGTCTTCCAGGTTTTCCAAAACATCATGTTTATTTTGTGGAAAATGCTGGGGTAATTTAAATTCCCATTCTCTCTCTCCTGTGATTTTTCTCCCTTTTGGAATTCCATCTCCAATTATCCCATTTCCATTTGCCCAAACTGCAACTCATAGGATCGGGAGTAGGCCATTCAGCCCTCAAATCTGTTCGACCGTTCAATGAGATTGTAGCTGATCTGTGGTCTAACTCCATATACCTGCCTTTGACCCATATCCTTTAATACCTTTGCTTAACAAAAATGTATCAATTGCAGATTTTAAATAAACTGATTCTGCCGTTTGTGGAAGAGTTTTCCCAATATCTGCCACCCTTTGCGTATAGGAGTGTTTCCTAAAATATCTCCTGAACTTAATTCTCAGACAATGTCCCTTGGTTGTAGAACCCCCAACCAGTGGAAATAATTTATCTTGTTCTACCCGGTCTTTTCTTGAAGTTAATGTTAATGTCTTGAAGACTTCGATCAAATCACCCCTTAACCTTCTAAATTCAGAGAACTCAAGCTTCATCGATGCATCCGATGTACTGTCTGTACCACTTGGCCCCTGTTTTTCCACTAAACCCAACTGTTTCATTACTTAATCTATAATGTTTGCCTTCTTAGCTTTTTCTGGCAACTTTATTTCCAATCTGCTGGCTAATCTGCTAGTTCCCCTATAGTCTAACCCTGCAACTGTACCAGGGAAACATCTGACAAGTTCAAAAACCTTTAAAGGATTTCTTAAATCTGATTACAAACCTGATGTCTGATTATCCAGTCCAAGTACTAAAGTCCAATTTCAGACCTGCATTATCTGCATTTCAAGATCCAGGACTCGAGCCCACAATTATGTTACAGCATGGAGACAGATGACCAAATCAAATCAGCCTTTCTACCTCTGTATTCATAACACAATAAAATTGAAACTTTCAAAGACCCTCACTAGTTACATCAATGCTAACCAGACTTTTTAATAACCAATCTCAGACTTTGACACTGGTTTTGAATATTAAACAAAAGGTTAACAATTTATTAAAGATATAATAACTTCAGTGGAGAAAAAAATTAAACAACACAGTAATCTAATTAATATCTATACATTAAATCAGAAACATTTGTTTTCAGCTCTCACTCAAACAAAAGACAAACAGATGATCAAACACAGTTAAAGGATGAGTAAAAAGAAAACAAAACTGGCTAGATTACTGAAATGTTTTTAGTGATGTGTTGTTTCATTGGCATTGATGTGAACCCCTTGTTTTTTTTTGAGATGTCGATCAGGGTCACCTTTTCATTTCACTCAGCTAAAGGTGGTAATACTTCTAACTCAGCTTCCACTCTCTAAGCTTCCAAAAACTGGCAAGGGAGGTTAGACAGGGAGCTTTCAAAATCTTTATGCAATGTCATCAGCGGCCAAAACTCTTCTCCCCGGAAAACACAGTTCTAATCAAATTCCAACTCTGCTCTTCTCCCTGACAGACCGACTACCTTTTCCCATGGCCTCATTTACCATTTAACGTATGCCATCTGTTTGAATATAGGTCTTCCCAGACTTGCTGAAACGAATTCCCAGGTACTGACCTTGTTAGTAACTAACTTACGCTATCTATTTAAATGCATTGTTCTTCCCATGT